ACTGTGTTATGGTAATAGGATTTCCACACACAAAAAAATAAACTTGAATCCCTACCACATATCATTCACAAAAGTAAGTCCCTGATAAAGACCTAAATATTAAAAAAAAAAAAAGCTATTAGAAGAAAGTTTCATTTCTGATAATGGTGTTGTTGTTGTTGTTACATGCCGTCGAGTCAGCCCAGACTCATAGCGACCCCTCCTTGGGTTTCCGAGGCAGTATCACTATGGAAGTAGATTGCCCAACCTTCCTTCCGAGGAGTGGCTGGTGGGTTTGAACTGCCAGCCTTCTGGTTAGCAGTTGAGTGCCTTAGGCACGGTAGACTAGATAATTCAGAACACTCTCCTCCTAAGAAAAACCAAAAAGTTTTAACAAAATGTATTTAATAGTCTGTTTAATGGCTAAGAAAAATACAAAAGTAGTATCTTTTTCTCGAGTCAAAATAAAAGAAGAAAATTAAAGAGGTGAGTTTAGCAATAATGGCCGCTTTTCCCCAAGAGGCATCTGCCAATTACGGCAAAGGAGCCAAGAGGCTAAGAAGCAGGGCAGAGCTTTTGACTGACTCACACACACTCCAAACCAAACTCTCTGCCACTGAGTACATTCTGAATCACACTGACTGACCTCCACTGGGTTTCCAAAGCTGTACATCTTTATGGAAGTAGGCTGTCTCATCTCTCTTCCAAAGAGTGCCTGGTGGGTTTCAACCAGTGACTGGTTAGCAGCCAAATGTCTTAACCACTATACCACCAGAGCTCCTTGCCTCATACACTAGGTAAACAAAAATTGGAAACTAAAATTCTACCCAAAAGTTGAAAAGGCCTAAACTAAAACACCAGACAGCCATCCCCCAGACATAAAAATGAGTCAACTCTCATAAGAACTGAAGCTCATCTTCAAATTTGCATTAACTTTGATTAAATTAAATGATTTAGGCTACTAGTTCTAAGCATCAGATAGAAACAAGTATCTTGAATTGAAGAAGACATCATCATCCATTAGATCAAAAGTCTCTACCATGTATACATAATGGATACCAAACAAATATAACCAGGCATAGATATGATATTGAAAACCAAGAGAAACAGTAAATAATAGAAACAGACCAAGAGAACAAGATAATAAAATCTTGAGATATCAACTATAAAATAACTATAATTAATATGCCCAGGATTTTAAAGGATTTCAAATTTCTGCAAAGTGCTGGAAACTTTCCAAAAGAATCAAACTGAAATTCTATAATATATGCAAAAAAAATGGCAAGGAGGCCACATGTTCTGACCTCCTCTAATCC